CAGCCCGCCCTCGGGGGCGGGAGGGGGTCGGCGTCCGGCGGGGCCCCGCAGGAACCGCAGATACTGAGGGTCGGGAGCCGAAACGCTGGGCGGCGGCCAGCGAGTATCCCCTGTCGTCCTTATTTTTAAACGCCCAAGTCGTGTGCCAGCGAGCTGAGTTACTTCAGATAGTCTTTGTCTCTTGGGAGTATCCCAGCCTCGGGTTAAATATGGCGTTAAAAGCTGCACTAATTTGCTCGTGCGTTAGGATCAGGGGTTACTTAGCTCTATGACTGACCTCGCGAAATATGTAAAATATGTATGAATCTTGCAATTTAGAGCAGGAAGAACTTTAGCAGTAGTATTATCAAACATTTTATTCCGTTGATACTTCAGTCGGTTATGTATTCTGTTCATACTTTTTCTGTTAACTGTTATCTTCTACGGTAAGCGCGTAACTTACACTCTACACTTTCATGTATGCACCTCAAATTTGACAATTTTCAAAATGATGGTCTGAATACCAGCAGTTTTGGTCGTGACAGGGTCACTGCTGACGGTACTGCCAAGCGGTCTGCCACACCGCTGCCGACCCTCAGGTTTCCATCCTAGCCCTCAGGTTTCCATCCTGGCCCTCACAGGTGTCTTTGCCTGCCCTCAGGTTTCCATCCCGACCCTCAGGTTTCCATCCTGGCCCTCACAGCTGTCTTTGCTTGCCCTCAGGTTTCCGTCCCAGCCCTGACTGGTGTCTCAGACTCCGGTTGGAAGGTCTGTGGACCAGAGGGGCTTGGCCAGATGTCTCCGTAGGTGGGCTGCTGAGCACTTACCCAACAGGCATCTCAGAGGCCCAGGCAAGGATCTTGTAGAGCTAAATGACTAATACAAGACCAACAAGCCCACTACCTTTGGCCACATTACTGGACTTCCCCATTGTTTGTGTAATAGTCAGATGAGCACCTAAATTTAGTCAATTACAATATTTTAAAACATCACAGTTTTCTTCTTTTTCAGGAGTAGATTTTTTCTTGATTGGTTGATGCAGCAGTACTACAGGCCTCCCTTTCTTTGACAAAGAGCTAGCAAACAGCAGACTTGAGTGACAAGACTCCTCACTTGAGTGAAAGCACAGTGCAGGTGATGTTTCTAAACACATACAATTTGGCAGGAGTTCCTTCAGAACCCCTGCAGTTGTACAGCATGAGAAGAGAGCTCCCTCTGACCTTTTTATATTCCTCTGAAAATTAATGTGAAAAATCAGGGCTGTCCAATTCCTTGCTCAGTAAGTGCAGTATGAGTTACATTACCATAGTTTTATTCAGAGCTGGAAGTAGTTGGAAATAAAAGAAGCAAGCAAAAATAAGACCTATGATGGGACAGTTCAACAGGTACTGAAAGGCGTCATCCTGCAGTTTACATCTGTCCAGTCATGATTTGGATGGCCTACCTTAGATACTACAGACATATTAGAGGAAAAAGGCTGTAACTAATTTTATGTTTTAATTTACAATTCTTAGAACTGCTCTGGTCATGCTATAAAATGAAGGCAAATTTGTTTCTTTTTCAGATCAGCTAAACTGTTAATGAGTGCTGGCAGCAGTGAAGAAGATATAGACGACATTATTGATGAAATCTGTAATGACAGCAGCTTTGCCAAAACACCTCTGGTGAGCAGGAGTCTGAAGAAATGCAGAACAGATGAGGTTCAGCGATGGAAAGAAAAGCACCATAAGCTACAACTGTTTTAGAGCAAAAAATGAACTAAAACAAGCTGTAGGATAAACTTGGAAAATAAAGCAGAAAGGAAAATGCAACAATCCTATAGTGAGGAACCGGAGAGGTATAAAGAGATGGTCTTACCCTGGCAGTAACAGACAATCAAAGGAAATGCTAGTTGAAGACAGAGCATAGTGTCAAATATCACAGAATCACAGACTGGTTGGAAGGGTCCTCCGGAGGTCATCCGGTCCAACCACCTGCTCAAGCAGGGCTACCTAGAGCTGGTTGCCCAGGACCATGTCCAGACAGCTTTTGAATATCTCCAAGGACGGAGACTCTACAGCCTCTCTAAGTAACCTGTTCCAGTGTTTGACCACCCTCACAAGAAGTAAAGTTTTTTCATATGTTTAACTGGAATTTCTTGTATTTCAATTTGTGCCCATTGCCTCTTCATCTGTCAGTGGGCCCCACTGAGAAGAGTCTGGCTACGTCTTCTTTATTCTTCCCCATCATGTATTTTTATACATTGATAAGATTCTGCTGACCCTTGTCTTCTCCAGGCTAAACAATTCCAGCTTTCTTAGCCTCTGCCTGTACGTCAGATTGTCTAAGTCCTTAATCACCATTATGTCCATTTCTCTTTTGTATGGGGCTGTGAGGCCATATCTGGAGTAGTGTGTGCAGTGCTGGGCTCCCCAGTACAAGAGAGAGATGGAGCTACTGGAGAGCCTCCAGCAAAGGGCCCTGGAGATGATTAAGAGACTGGAGCATCTTTCGTATGAGGAGAGGCTGAGAGAGCTGGGACTGTTCAGCCTGGAGAAGAGGAGGCTCCAGGGGGATCTTGTCAATGTGTGTAAATACCTGATGGGTGGAGTAAAGAAGGGGCCAGACTCTCCTCTGTAGTGCCCAGTGACAGGACAAGAGGCAATGGGCCCAAACTGAAACACATGAAATTCCATCTGTACAGAAGAAAAAACTTTTTTTACTGTGAGGGTGGTCAAACACTGGGACAGGCTGCCCAGAGAGGTTGTGGAGTCTCCGTCCGTGGAGATTTTCAAAACGCAACTGGCCACAGTCCTGGGCAAGCTGCTGAAGCTGGCCCTGCTTTGAGCAGGGGGGTTGGCCTAGATGATCTCAAGAGGACCCTTCCAACCAAAATGACTCTCTGATTCTGTCTCACCAGTGCTGAGTACAGAGGAAGGATCACCTTCTTCAGCCTGCTGGCAATGTCCCTCCTAACGTAGCTCAGGATGCTCTTGGCCTTCTGTGCTGCGAGGGCACACTGCTGGCTCATGGTCAACTTGTCAAGTGACCACATTTCCCATGGTTTTCTCTGCGAAGCTGCCTTCCAGCTGGTCAGCCCTCAGTGTGTTCCGGTGCATGAGGGTTATTCCTCCCCAGGGGTGGGAGTTTGCATTTCCCCTTAGCTGAACTTCAGGAGATTCCTCTCAGCCCATTTCTGCAGTCTGTTGAGGTCCCTCTGAATGGCAGCGCAGCCATCTGGCATACCAACCACTGCTCCCCATTTTGCATCATCTGCAAATGACTTCTGTTGTTCAACAGCAGGAGATGGAGATGAAGCTGCAAATTTACATTGTCAAGACAGAGTGACAGAAGTCATTGAAAATAGATATTCATTTAGGTATCATCAGTAGAAAATTGTGTTATTTATACTTCATAACCCCCTGTGCAGATTCTCTTATTTTCATAAGTGAGGTTGGTTTTGCTTTGTCTTTGATTTCTTACAGAGTGGCTAAATCTGAACCAACAAAAATCACTTATATACCACAATACGTATGTCTGAGTGAGAGAGAATTACATCAGTAAATTTGTATAATTTTATCATTTTATATCCCTAAGACTTCCCATTTAAGATCTAGAATTCTAGTATTCTACAATTCAAATAAACTGTGTTATGTGCAGCAAATAAGAAACTTTTCAAAGACACTTTATCTTTTTGAATAATATAAGTCCTTGGTGTGTTTTCAGTAAAATAAAAGCTCAAAAATATTGAGGGAGAAGGTTCCTAAATTAAAACTGTTTTTAAAAGCAAAACTATTAAAAAGAGGACATGAAATAGTAAGTCTCAATTGTAAAGTCAAAGTGATCATGTGGTGTTGAATTTCTTCAGGCAGAGCTGGGAATTCAGTATAGGAAGAGAAGCCTCGTTCCTCATTCATCTGTTACTTCAGCAGCTCTTGTCTCAAAGAGCCTCATAGAAAGCTGAGCAAGAAAATTCCCAAATTCTTAGTCCCCTTCTTCTGTGACTGAGTTTTTCCGGCTCCTGCTTATTAAGTAAAACAGAATATTGTTACCTTGCTGTAATGCTGCCTTTTATTCTTTGATTGCTTTTTAAATAGAAATTGAAGTCTAACTCTGCAAGTCTCACACCTGAAAGCAATAGTGCTGTTGTACAGGCTCGTAGGAAAAGGTAAGTGAAAAATGTTTTGGCTAGTTGAACATAGCTTAGTCAGTCTAATAGTATTGCTACTGTTTAATCTGTGTTGACATTAACTAAGAAAGAAACTGAGTATTTAGAGAAGCATTCTTTTTAAAGAAAAACAAAGATAATTTTGAGGAATTACTAATGTGCTTTCATGTGGTCAAAATGATTTATTATAAATTTATTAATTATTTAAGTTATTGAACAATGGCTTGCTTTGCCTTATGGATATACACATTTATCAAATGCTGCAATGTATAGTCCCATGTATATTTGGTATAGAGTGGTTGTCATGGAGTTTTTCTTTGGACACCTTGGCAGTGGAAATTTTAAAATTCTATAGTTAGTTAGCATTTGAATGCTGTGCCTATATTTAATAAATATTACTTTAGCAACACCATGCTGTTAAATTAGGAGAAGCATTGTACTACTTTCTCCAAAATGTTTTTCTGTAATTTAGTATTTTTTAATGAAATCCATATAGATGCTGTCCAGTGTACCTGGGTGGAAGCTCTTCACCGTATGGCATAGGAACAAATGTTTCGAAAAGGTAGGAAATGTGAAAAAAATGTTCTACTTGCTTTATCATTATTTTTATTCATAGCTGTGTTTCTGTGGTGCTACAGAGTTCTGTGTTTGAACTGGACAGGACAGCCCTATATTTATCTAAACATGTGGCTGCCTGTAACTGCAGTTGAAGTCAGCTGGTCCCTTCCAGTCCTCTGTGATTGACCACTAGATCTTTTGTTCATTTGAGGAGTTGAAAGATGTGTGCAAATGAGACATGAGACTCCAAAATCGGTAACATGTAGTTAGGAAATTGCTGCTGTAGAGTATTGTTATATTTCCCTGCCTCTCTTCAGCTTTCGATGTGATGCCGAGTATGTGACTTAAATCAGTGGGCTGGTTTAAATCAGCCCACAGCCTGAACTGAAAATAGCCAGAGTGCTTTGCAACTGCAGCTGAACTTAGCAGGAGAGGTACTTGAAAGATTTATCCCCAACATCCTATAGAACATTATTGCATTTCCATGTGGGATTTTTTGTAGTAAGTAATTATGCACTTGATGCATATTTGGATGCTGGTCAGGTGCCATACCAGTGAGGAAGATCAAAGAAAATATACAAAGAGATTATCAGTTTATTTTTTGTGTTCAGTGAGGTTAGGAACCTGTAAAAATAATACGTGATCATATAGTTAAAACACATACCATAAAGAATGTGCCAGAGATGTAAAAAAATTAAGATTACAGGGTCATCTTGCTTCTAGTATTTCTGAGTGAGCGCTCTATTTTAAAACAGTTATGATCTGTGTAGCTTCTCTGATTGTAATAAGCTCTTGGAGCTTTCTGTTCTTTTTTGGCCAGAACATGTGATCAGCTACGTTGCACTGCTTGCGACTTCCACGTGTCACTTTTTAATGACTACATCTGGGATCAGTCCTGTGATTATCTTTTCTTCAGGTATGTCTGAGGTGGGTTTGGTATTTGTATTGTGTTACTGTGCTTTGGGGCTTGATAGGAACAGGAAAGAAGAAAAGTTGTGAGCACTCCTTTGCTACCTAAAAAGGAGCATGTGTGCAGCCTGTTTGGTGATGAGCTGGGAAAGTCTGCAGGGAGAGGGATGCGACATCTCTCATAATCTGTTTTCATGCCTTTCCATTTCTTCCCCCATCACTCTCCCTCTCTGACTTTAAAAAGAATTCAAGTTCCATGGATCAAAAGGCAACTTTACTGCTGAAATAACCAGATAGTCTGTGTGATGGGTTGGCCTCTGGTGTGCCACTGCAGGATGCCTACAAAATAAATGCAGACTGTTCAGCATGTACTCCTCACCATACCTTCAGTCATACAGACTGTGAATGTTTCAAGTCAGATTTTCTTTTTTCCAGTATCAGGTATTATGCTGTCATGTTCAGTGAAAATCAGATAGTTTGATTTCTTAACAGATTTCTTTTTGAAGCAAGGTTTGATTAAATGGAGGGGTGGGATTTTTATTTTCTTATTATATTGTGATGTCTTTGACTTTAATTATTTCAATTTTTTTTGAAGACTTCAAATTAAGAAGTTCTTATTTCCAGTTTCTCTAAAACTGTATCTAATGCCAAGACTTAGTGAAAGGTAGTGCAGTAGGCATGCTCCTCATACAGACATCGAATTTTAATTCCTCTTATTTTAGTAAAGTCTCTGTATGTGCCCGTTAACTGATGGAGGTGGTGGATGTGTTCAGAGTATGTGCTTAGCCACCAGGGGGGTGTGACAGCTGGAGCAGAGCAGTCATGGATACATCACCTCCTTTTCCATTACTTTTCTTGTATTACATGTTAGGTTTTCCCTGTATTTTCCTTCCAGTTTTGAAATTCGTATTACTCTTCAAAATGTTATTCTCCCGTTACTTAAAGCAGCATTAAAAATACTGTGCTGTACTAGTCTCTTGAGACAAGTTTGGTAGCTGGAAAGGTTAAATGAAAATATGATTCTTTTATTTACTCGAAGTCTAAATTATTCTGCTTCTAAAATCTTGAAATTAATCACATTAAAACAAAGACATGAAAGGCATTAGTATCAGATACTCGTAACATTGATTAAAATCTGTAATCTTTAGCAAAATACTTAGCTATTTATTTTGACTAATCTGAATTTTAAAAAGCAAACTTGAAGATTAAACATTTGCCTTCCATGAATAAGTGTCTGACCTCTTTTTCTAAAAATTCTTCCTTTGATGTTTGGTTTGGGTTTTCTTTATTTAGCTGGGCTTGTTAATGTTGTTTTTGAGCAATTCAGTGGCTAGTGATTGATGGCCAGGAGGAGCTCATGAGAGCAGGGATAGTTAAAATCGTAAATTTTCATTTGTTTTTTCAAACAACTTGTTTTTGTAATAGCCATGCTGGTTTTCCATTTGTTGTGGTTGAGGCTTGCACAGGAATTATTTGTGGTTTGATGTACATTCTTCTCTCTGATGGCCGTTTCATTTCAGTCACTGTAACAACCATCCTGAGTAACAGTTCCTGGTGAAAAGTTTAACTCTGTAGTTGTACCCATTCTGCATAGGGCTTTTTACGTTAAGTTTGATAAGATAAATACATTTTTGGATAAATTCTTAACACAAGAATTAACTCAGCCTGGTTTTCTTCCCAGCTCTTTCTCTGGAGGCTGACATAGGGTCTCCAAACCCAACAGAGAACACTGTTTACAAAAACATCAATCTCCAGCTGATCTGAGAATACAGCAACTACACACCAAGACTGCTCTCAGGAAAGGATTGTGTTCAAAACAGAGTTTAAATATATCCCTAAATTAATTCATAATAGTGGTACTCAGAAATGTTCTTAAGAGCTTTTCTGAATTGAAATGGCCTCATGAATCTTTTTTTTTAAAAAAAAAAAAAAAAAAAGAAGCATGATCCTAAACTGAATTCACTTGATTGGCAGGAATAACATGCCTGAGCTCAGTAAACTAAGAGCGAAGATGATAAAGAAGAAAGGAGCACGAGCATATGCTTGTCAGTGCAGCTGGAGATCCATTGATGAATTAACTGACCTCCAAACAGACCAGCAGCTTCGGTGGGTTTGTGGTAAACATGCAGAATGAAGTCCTCTTGTGTGTGGTACCTACTTGTGTGGAAACAGGTCATGAACTCAATTTGTTTCCCACGCAGATTTCTGAGAACAGATGGAAACCTGGATACTTATATCTAGAAATAGATTATAACACCCAGACTTCAACCTGAAAACTTTTTTTCAATATAACTGTCTTGCAAGCAATATGTGGACTTGAATTATTAGAAGAAACAATCAATTTGGAGGCTTTCTGGAAGCTAAATGAGGTTAAACCTCATACTCAGTAATGTTAAAGAATGGAAGAGAAAATTGACAGATTTAGGCATGGGACTTGAGACTGAACCTCATATCTAGCAGAGAGCCATGTGTGCAAAAATCTTTTACCATGTGTGCAAAATCTTGGACTCAAAATGGTGGGTTGGGATGCAGCCCTGACACACAAGCGTATGAATTTCTGCACGGAAATTAATACTGCTATTCTGCTTTGCTCATAGCTGTTAATGAGCAAGTGGTTGTAGATGTCTTAAAAAATTACTGCGAGATCAGCTCTCACCTCGAAGGTTTCAGCACACCCCAAAACTTTACTTTCTTTTACCCACCAGTAGCCAAAAACTACAGGTGCTGGAAATTTCCTTCCAGTTCCTACTGCTTTCTTCAAAGCACTTTCTGCTGACTAAAGACTTCTATCACAGTGAATTTCTTGGACTTCCTTTCAGCCTTCACTGCAAGAGGTAAAAAAATTATTGTGCAATTATTAAATATTGTGCAATTTTAAAGGGATTCTGAAGAGTATATGACTCTTCTATCAATATTTTCAAGGGAAAAAAGGCTCAGGCTTTTAAGAGTAAGAAAATATATATCCCCACTGATGTTCAAATTTGGATTTTTTTCAGTTTCACTTAGCTTTCACTTCAGCTTCACTTCAAAATACTACATATTCAGAAAATGTAACTGTCCTGTTTCAACACACTCCCTTCCCCCAGTAACGTTGTAAAACTACTTCCAGTATCATGTTACTTGGTGAATTGTCTTGATTACAGTTAATGTCACTATAGTTTATGAGCTCTTTCTTTTCATTATGTATAAATAACACAGGAGATGGATTTGGGTTTTGGGCAGGCAGAGAGGAAGGAAAGGATTACCAGTCCTAGCAATTACTACGTTGAAAAGTGTCTCAAAATGGGAAGTCTGTCAGTATTTTTGCTATGCAGTATGTGATACTGTACAGATAAATTCAAAATTACTTACTTTGTGCAATTCTAGCTATACAGAGGCATTTCTTTTTTTGTAAAGTTTTGCTCATGACCCTGATCTGTACATTGTCAATCTGTTCTTTTTCTGAGCTTTTCCAAAACAATTTCATGGTCTCTCTTATAGAGGTCATCTCTCAAATCTGTCGCTTTGTCTGTAACCCTCTGAAAGAGCAGATCCTGGTAGTGACCAGAGGCGTAATGTACTCTGCATCCTGCTCACCTTCCCCCTCCACGAGTGTTTTTTAGAACCTGCAGAGGACCAGCAGTGTGCCTGGGAGGACTGACAGTGCTTACGTACGCAGTGCTTCGGTGTTCTAGAGTGCGTGCTCCAGTGCCACATGCGGCCTTGCTAGTAGGTTCAGAGGTGAGTTCGCTTTGGAGAGGTGCAATTTGGCATAATGGTATAGACGTATTTAGGGTCATGTGTTGTTTTCAATGCAATTGGTGTTTCAGGCTAAAATTTCAACTGCTAGAGTCTAAAACTGCAGGTTCAGGAGACAGAGAGACCCGGAGACCAGTTGATTAATGCTCAGCCAGCTACTGGAGAGGTCTGCTTGCCTTTCTGTCCTTTGTGAAGAGATAGCGCCCGTGTGGACTGTAAGCAGTAGGTGTTCTGGCTTTCCTTCAGGTGGGCCTGAGCGATTTCCATTCCCAGAGAACATCAGTGCTAATGGTAGGAGAAGAACCCAGCAGTAGCATGTAATTTATTAACAAGCTCTAAAGAAGAAGAAACCAACTTTCCATTCTTCTTCTTCTTCTTGAAGAATGCATTTCAAAAAGCGCTGAGTTGCCTTGGCTTGCCTGTTCCAAGGCCATTTGAAACTGGTGACCAAGTAGCCCCACAGGATGTTCTTTCGGCCTGGATCTGCACGGGAACTTGTGTCACAATGTAAGGAACAAGTTAGACTTGCAACCTGTGAGCAGGAAACAGGGAAGATCCTAACACCCATCTCAGTTCGAGAGACGAAGTCTTATGTGACTTGGAAAGGAGCATGTCTCCTGTACCCTGTTTTAAACAAACCAACAGAAATAGTCACCCCTTCTGGACCAGTTTGCACTACCAAGCGTGGGGAGCAAATCATGTGGAAACAAAAGTTCAAGACATCCGTTCTAGTGATTTTTATGACAAGAAGACAGCCTGCAGCACATGAAAAGTGGAGGCTAGGAAGGACTTGAGACAAAAGGACTAAGAGTGTAGGAGAAGTAAAAAGGATTAACAGTAATATCTATTGACAACATTAGTCAGCATTTCTCCTAGGTCACCTCGTCCCTCAGTCTTGTTAGCCTAGAGAGTTGTGGAAAGAGTTCTCTTTCTGGATAGAGATTGTTGTCAGGCGATTGTGTCACTAACGCCATTAAGACTGCACTCCAAGAACTGAAAATGTTAGAAGATAATGTTAATTGGTAAATGTAAGTGGAAACCTGTGCATTCCCGTGAAATCATCGTGTTTATTCAAGTGTAGTTACTTGTTTCTGGCCATGGGCAGAACGGTGGGATTTTAGACATGTGCAGAAATAGTGCTTATTGTATTGGTTTTCATTACAGAAATTAGCATATTTCTAGATCTAAGAATAGTTACTATGTCATTAGATATAATTATTTTGTTGGAAAGAGGAGTGGTATTAAGTATTTGATTTCCCTTCCTTTGCTTTCTTCAGTTACATGTTACAAACCACTCCAAAGTCCTCAAATGAAAAGAATGTAAAGAAAGGTAAAATTAGAGCTTGAATGTTCATTTGATGTAGGTATTGTAAGATTGCACAAGGTTTTCAAGATGTAGCCCAGATCCTAAGTGATATTTCCGTGTCGGTTATCTGAGATAGCAGGGATTATGTAAAGAATTTTGTTTAAGAATGCCATTCAGCTGTTGTCAAACGGAAGTACTGGAGAACAGTTTTGCTAAGTATAAATGTGACCATTGTTTTCCTCCCGTTTTTTGCTTTGGAAGAAATAATACCATTTCTGTTTGTGAAATGGGCAAGGTGAAAACTTGAGACTTTCATTTTGCTTGGGTGATATGCTTGGAAATTTTCTAGCCTGCAGCATTAGTCTGTAGCAGATCCCTCAACAAAACAAAAGCAATGAAGGATGGCAAAATGAGAATCCACGCAAAAGCATTCACTGGAAATGTAGTCAGTGGTTTAATGTCGTCCCAACTTTTCTGTGTTCCTTCAGTACCTCTGGATACAATCCAATTCTGATGTACATAGTACATTTTGAAAGCTTGTCTTTATCAAATTTTAATGTGCTGTTCTAACTATATCTCAGTTGTTTTACCTGCAAACTATGGAGGGTGTCCAACCTGGATGCTGACTATAGCTCAGAAAAGTAATTATTAGGGATCTTGCCCTGCCATAAAATTTAACTTACAGAAGCTTAATAGCATTACAGATGGCAAGCTCTGCACTGTATAACACTGAATAAATATTTTGTTTTTCTGAACGCCTATTTCAGTTTTGTACTGGAGGTATTCTGCAAACGCTAGGCACTGGAAGCTGCCACTTGTTGAAAGACTTCTCACTTCTCTTGTTTCCTGACGTCTTCGGGTCCTGTAGCCAGCACATGTGGTAGTCACACAACAGGGGAGGGACTGTGTTGGGAGCTGCGTAGGCAAATTTTCCTTCCTGCCAGGCTCTTTTCGCACAAGACCCGACCACTTTTGTCTGTTGTGTGGCACCCGATAACCGCAGACAGGCCAACCTGGAAGGGGATGGAGTAAAGGAGTGTCAGGTGCTGCTCGTTTGCAAGGGCCGCATGCTGCCTGGGACTTCACATGTGTGCTTCGAGGAAAGTATATTTTTCAAATGTTGACTCTTCAATAAAAGGAAAAGTTAGAACAAATCTGAACCGTGTGTTGTGTAAATTCTGTTGTGTTGTTCCTATCCAAGGGAAGCCTTACGAAAATTATGTAGGACCATGTTTTCTCTGTCAGAATGGTTATGAAATGCCCTTAATACAAAAATGTTGCCCAGCTCATAAGAAACAGTAAGTACTTGGATGTTTTCTCACATCAGTGGGGATGCAGCAAATACCCGAGAAGTAAATGCGCTTTAACGTTCCTTACCAGATAACATGAGGAGAGCGCATTAAATGATAGAGAGCTCATAAAGGTGGATGCATTTACCACGTTTCTTGGATGTCTACTTGGAATAAAAGGGGGAGCCAGCTGCTGTGGAAGGTGGCCGATAGCTAAACTCCTTGCAGAGTGGGATGCTGGTACCTCTGTGCATCAGTCAAGGCAGGTTCTGACAGGCGTCACACTGGTCACTTAAAAGAGGGAGATCAATCGAGAAACCGCAGCATTTGCTGTCCCCTGGATCTTGCTGTAGAAAACCGTTCTTAGTACCAGGAAGAAGTTGCTGTACGTGTGGGAGTTGGAAGAAATCTTGTTTCTCCATCATGAAGAAGTGCTGCGTGGCATACATTAGAGTCACAGACCCAAATATTTCCTATACACCATTCTGAATCTGGACTGCAGGCGTTGGTGCTGTTCAGGCAGTAGTTACTTCCCAGGCTTAGTGGGCAGCGTGGGCTCGGTGAGAACACACAGAAGACACCCTCTGCCTCAGGAGTACTCCAGACTTACCTTACTCACGACTTGCAATGTCACAGCGCACCGTTAGAAGGTAGTGCCCATGTACGTTTAATTCATGTTGACGACTTTTATTCTGTTGTGTTAGATGTGCTTTGAAAGTATGTAATTTAGGGTAAAATGTGATTATACGATCTAGTCTGCAGAGGGCAGAGCAACACCACTGAGTGTTGCAGTTCAGGCTT